TGCGCCTGTGACATGCCATGCGGGAATGTCCCCTCTATTAGATCTATCCAGCCTCTACTTGTTTCCATCCTTTGGTAGATGAATTATCTTTGACCAGCCGCTAATAGTAATACAATATGCAGAGAACGAAGTGTCTTTTTAAAAGGAAAAATCAGATACGCAAAAGGCTTTAAATCGGAGGCTTGGCTTCGCCTGGCGCATAATCTTGCGCAATCTTAACAGCGCCAGGGCTAGGCTTGGGGTATGTTGTCCGCCTCTTTGCGCGCACGTAAAAGTTCATCGGACGAATCAGCTGGAACTCTGGGTCGTATGTGACAGCATCGTCGCCCTCCTTGAAGAACTCGTACCGGTATACAAGTTCTGGCAGAATTACCTTGACTTCTCCGAGTGCAAAGTTGAAGCCAATGCAGCTTCGGGGACCAGTTGCGAAAGGCATGTATGAGTTCTTTGGTCGGTTGGCTACTTCCTCAGTACCCCAGCGGTCTGGATCAAAGCGGTCTGGATTTGACCAGATATTGGGGTTGTTGTGAATGGCGTGCAGGGCACAGATGACTACGGACCCGGCAGCAAGCTTGTAGCCACCTGGCACAATACAATCGACCTTGACCGTTCGCCCTGGTTGGAAGGATGGGTTGTGCAGGCGCTGGGTCTCTTTGACGAACTTATCAAGGAAGGTGAGGCCGTCGGAGAGCTCTGGCGTCCATTTGGTGTTTTCGTTGACACCAGCATCGACGAGCTCCTGCAGCATTCGTTCTTGATTTCCTGGGTACACGCACAGCGCATAGAGGAGCCATGAGAGCAGCGAAGAGGTCGTCGTGAAGCCAGCACCTGCTATCGGTAGCATGTTCGGAATGACAAGGTCACGTGGTAGCTTGTTGCCTTGGTCATCGGTGGCACGCTTGAGGTAGTCTACCACACAGCTTGCTCCAAGGGCGGCCGAGTGCAGAGGCAGATCATCTTCGGTATCGCCTTTGGGCGCATTATCAATAGCCGTGTTCATGATGTTCCACAGCTTGGCGCCGACGTGATGGAGGTACCAGGGGGCTGTGAAGGGTACAACGCTCAACTTAGAATACCAAGCACCTCGCGACATGACCTTCTTGTTGAGGGACAGTGAATATGCGATTAAGATGACCAATTCGTTCAAAGGCGAGTCTGGTGTATCGAAGTGATGGGAATCGTAACCAAGCGCAAACTTGAATACTGTCTGGGACGCCAGCTTCAGCATGTACTGATATGCGTTCCAGGCCTCGCCTTGTTCGTCCAGCTGGTCGAAGACCTTGAAAGAGTCCTTGACAGAAGCTTCCATCAGGGGTGTATAATGTCTGATGGCCTTTGGAGCCATGGAAGGTGGGATGAACTTGTGCGCTTGTCTCCATGCTTCAGTATCAGTGTCGCAAACGAATAGAGCTCTGTTATCCTTGATGCCCGCCAGAGGATGGTCTGGTGTGATGAGCTTGCTGAAAAACTCCGACTCTTGGAAAGCGACTGTTGCAACAGCAGGGTCGTTGGTCAAGTAATTCATTTTTCCCATTGAGTCGTATTTGATGATCGGCCCATATTTTTGGAACAAGCGAGCGTGGTTTCCCTAGGGAGGGTCAGTTGTGCTATGGGCATGGACAACAGCCGACTTACCAGATGATCGGGGAACACCTCATAGTAGCTGCCTACGAAAGGAAGACCTTCGGGACCAGCAGGGTCTCTGATAGCCTGGCCATCGACTGTAATGCCAAGATCTTCTTCGCAGTCCAGGACGGCGTCCAAGTCTGGCAAATCGTTTCCTTGGGCATCTTGCAGGGCAATACCTGAGCAATGGCAGGTTAGCCGATATAGAGGTAAAAGATTTTTTTTCTTCAAAAATATGTGCTTACCGGTTGCTTGAATGATGTTGTATTGTTCAGCTATGGCGATTTGTAGAGACTCAAAGTCGTGACATTGGTCGATAGGGATGTCTTGGTGGTAGACGTCTTTGTCTTGCCCGACAAGGTAGAAGCCTTTGAGAGTCATGTTGTGCAATGGTCCGGAGTAAGGCAGGTGTGAATCAAGTCTCAAGGCTCGGCCAGAGCAGTAGCAAGGCGACGAAGAATTAATATCGTAATTCCACCCTTCCCCTTTGACGGCGTCAGTGGTAGGACATATCCATATCATCGGCCAAGAAAGTGGCTAGGCCGATAATACGACGCAGGGCCACCCGCCAGCACACGAATTCGTATATTCCAGGGCATGAACCGAGGCATGTTTACAAAAGGCGTAGTGATAATGCAGGTCGTGCGAGCAGTCCGGCCGAACCCTTTTCTTTGCAGGTTCTGTGCATTCCAGGGGTGTCGGAGTGTCGGAGATAAAATGCGTGTGCGCCACGAGGATGCCGATCACTGCGATATGGGTCTGATTAACGACGGCAATGCCATTGGCTGCGATGACGATGAGCCTCGGCAAGTGGGGATCATCCGTCTCCATTTGCAACGGTCGACGGCGCTTCCGACTTTGCGCTGCCGTCATAGCGTTTGGAAATTTGCATGCCAACACTGCAATTGTGATCTGTGCATGTGCAATGGCCATTGCCGATCCACTCTCCTCGTGCGACGCCATGGCGACGGCGATGGTAAGGCGGGCCGGCGTCGAGAAAAAGCTCTCGTTGTCGCAGCCTCGTCCCTCGCAACCAAGAGCACCCCATCTCATCACTCCAACACATCCACCAACATGGCCGACGCCGTATACACTCTCGCAGAGGTAGCCAAGCACAACACCAAGAATGACCTCTGGCTCACTCTCTGGAACTACGTCTACGATGTGACCGACTACCAAGAAGAACACCCCGGCGGAAAGGAGTTTCTTCTTGAGAACGCCGGAGCGGATGCGACCACCGCATACGAAGACATTGGCCATTCCACAGACGCAAGGGAAATCCTCGAGAACTATCGAATCGGCCGCCTTGCTGACGATGACTGGACCGACCACGAGGCAAGCAGGATGCCAGTCATCAAGCCAAACAAAGTCTTTGTCGTCAACAGGCTCCCTCCACCCACATCAAGTCTCGCTCAATTACCAACCATGGGGCTTGGACTAGCCTCAATCGTTCTGTCTTACGTCTACGGCCACAAGGTCACACCGTACTTGCGCCATCTTCAAAGTAGCGGCTTCTGGAAGGGTTTTGCAGTCTCTTCCATTGCCAGCATGGCCCTCGTGGGCTATGCCAGCGTTTGGGCCACCAAAAGCTTTGATGTCGCACATATGGATTTCAGGGCATACCCCGCGCATTACAGGGCAAAGTCTACGGCGTCCAAGCCGACCAAAAAGAAGGACATCAATCTTGGTGTCCTTAACGCCCGCATCTACCAGCCATTTCCGCTGATCGAGAAGACAAATGTTTCACACGACACTGTTCGCTTGGTTTTTGGCCTTCCTAGCGAGAACTCTATCCTTGGCCTACCCACTGGCCAGCACGTTGCAATCAGGCATGAAGTTGATGGCAAGCAAATTACCCGATCATATACGCCAACTTCCAGCAATCAAGACCTAGGCCGACTGGAATTGACAATCAAGATATACGAAGACGGCAAATTAACACCATGGCTGAACAAGCTTAACATTGGAGACAAGGTTGAAATTCGAGGCCCCAAGGGCGAAATGAAATATCACAAGAACCTCGTTAAGCAACTTGGAATGATCGCCGGTGGCACTGGTATCACCCCCATGCTCCAAATTATTCGACGCATCTGCGAAGATCCGCGCGATCATACCAAGGTCACCCTACTGTTCGCCAACAAAACCGAAGCCGACATTTTGCTCAAAGACCAGCTGGACCGATTCGCAAGAGAAAACAGCCAATTCAGTGTGCACTACATTCTTAGCAACCCCTCCGCCAGTTGGCAAGGTGCAAAGGGCCGTGTCAGTAAGGAGCTGATTGAACAGCATATGCCTGCACCAGCCGGTGGGGACAGCAAGATCCTTCTGTGTGGTCCAGACCCAATGGTAGACTCCATGTCCAAGCATCTCCAAGAACGTGGCTTCAAAGCACCAGGTAAGATATGACTTCATCTACAAAATCCTGAACACTCTGCTAACGTAAATTTACAGGCTCCATCTCGAAACCTCAAGATGAGATTTTCATTTTCTAAGCAGACCCGAATTCTTTTAGATTCTTAGTCTTCTATTCTTTCATCGCCATACGCAATGGCTGGGGCATCTAGGGTAAAGAGACAACTTGAAGCGCTCGGAGCTTGGGAATACCATATAGACATGTATTATACATAATAGGGCGTTTGTCTTTCGTAGCATGAGTGCATAATTGCTGGGTACGATGACCATCCTGAAGGTGTTGTACTGGTTCAGAAACTATGTAATAAGATGTCGGGTTTGGTCACTTTTATCTATCATGGCGCGTGTGTACCACGGGGAAGAAAAAAGATATTGATCCACAATTTATCCATTCCAGAGCCCATCTGCAACTCCCGTGTCTTCTGTGCGAGTGGGTTTAAAAAGATTCTGCATAGTATCATCTACTTGTTACTCTACCAAATTCGGTTGTAACAGCACTATTCTCTTTCTTCCTGTTGATGGAAAATATTGTATTTTCCAAGAGCGAAATACGCACCTATGGATTGCATCATCTCCATGAATTGCTGTGGGACCAGGCCTAGTGACATCGATTGAGGATGACTTACTTCCAAGCTCTTAACTTTTCTTTTTCTCTTTCGAACTTAATTTGCATCGGCTATGCAGTAACTTTATCCAAGTTCACGATCGAATGTCGGTAAATGAATAGCAAGAAGCAATCGCCGACCGGAATCCGGCATGCCCGAAATGCGGTGCCGCAAACTGAAGGCCCGAGCTTTTCGGTCGCAGTGGACATTCACGAGAGCAAATAATAGCATGCTACCCTTCCCTCGACACAGCTCGTCCCGACCTATAATAGCCCCTTCCCTGGGCCCAATTGCTCTCAGAGATACTCACCCGCTCTCCAGTATCGCGTTCCGGTCCTTGTCTCCTCCACCATCACCATGAACACCATCTCCCCGCCCCCGCAAATAAAACGGCTCTCAGGCCCCAAGCGCGTTCTCGGTATCCTCGTCGGCATCACAGGCGGCTTGGGCGCAAACGCCCTGCTAGCATACAGCGTATCCTCCTTCTACACCCGCAACACCAAATTCGTGCCCTTTGACACATCCGCCCCGGACCTCACGACCAAGACATTCCGCAACCACAATCCCCTTAACAACCCGCCGGCCTGCATAGACCACGCCATCAAGCAAGTCCCCTACGGAAAGTTGCCGGAGAAGTACTGGGTAAAGGGCAGTGGGGGACGCATATCCGTGGACCAGAAGGCGCTGGTGACGGATTTCTGCAGGGGCATCTGGAGTGGAGTCGCATTTCGCGTCCAGAGGCGGTTCCTGGAGAGAAAGTATCGCGCGCTTGAGGGCAGGCAGGATCATCTCTGGGACGTCAAGGATTTGGAGAAGAGTACTTATCCCATCGGAACCAAGATTGTGGATCATTTCGAGGTTGTGGAGCATTCAGATGACAAGGTATTATTATGTGGACTCTTAATTCTGCTCGATCCCGGCGTCAGCAATCGCAGTATGCTAATCAACATGGTGGCTAGGTTATTGTACGATGTGGTGATTCACCGCTGAACCAGAATCAGCGACCCTCGGACGGTCTGTTCTCCATGGAAGTGTCAAAGGACGACGAAGCTCAGATGGCAACTTTCCACCTCAAGTCTGTTTTCGTAGATACATCGCCAGAGGGTAAGGGCACCCAGCCTCAGCCGGCGCCCCTTCAGGCTGCGCATCGCTGGTATACGAAGCTGTGGATGGAGAGCGCAACACGCAAGTTGATCAAGGAAGCGTGAATTACCCGTGACGGAATTCGGGGAGTTTGCACTTTTTTTTGCAAGATGCGAGTGATGATTAGTTGAAGCGTCATGTGACCAGTGAGATTTTATCTATACAGACGCTTGTCGCCTTGTTGTATATACTTTTGGCATACCCTCGCGCCGATTTGGTTGAAAAACAATAGAAGCAAAGCTTCCACTCAAAATTAACCTGGATAACGCTGTTTGCAAAATTCATACACTGTGATATAAAATCATATTGTCGCAACAACAAGCTCAGTTAGTCTAGTACCAACTAAAGACTGAACAACGTTGGAAAACATGCTACCACGCCTAGCTCCTGAACAACATCAGACCGGCTTCCTCTGCGTCCACTTGCTCTTCCTCTTCACTCGCAACCTCATCATGCTCCCCAAGTCCCAACCGCTGACCGAATAGACTGCTAAATAGCTCATCTCTCTGCCGGTCGCCCCATTCACCCCTATCTTCTGGCGCCATGAAATTCTGTAGCTTCTCTTGGACAACGTACCGGAGCTTGCGCCCTTTGCTGGCCTTTGTATCGACGACCTTCTTGGTCTTGGCTTCACGGGCTACCTGCCACGGCGCCTGCACAACAAATTCCGCCGTTCCGTTGGCATTGAGGTCGGCAGAGCGCTGCTCGAGAAGTTCCTTCAGCATCAAACCGTAGAAATCCGCATCGTCGTAGATGGCGGGGTCAGGCTGCGCTGCTTTATTGGACGATTGAAGAGGTGCACATGAGCGAGGCATTTGTGTGCGAGTGACGAGATGAGATGATGTAAGCTGTGAGTCCAGGACTTCGGTGAGCGTTTGTTGGGCAGAAGCGTTGAGACGAGCCTTGTTGTTGGTTACGGTCGTGGCTTTCGTCTTGTTTGACCATCTCTCAAGAATTGCTTTGCGGTGTGGCAGAGTGCCCTTTTCCGTGTCCTGGATAGAAGACCAGATTTCTGATGACGGAGTCGCTTGGTTGAAATTGGCGCGCTTCCGCTTTTGGCCTGTTCGTGACTCTTCCAATGACAATCGGAGGTTTGTAAGATTGTTTAACAAAGTCAAGGCTGCGGCCTCGGCGGCCTCGACCGGTGCTTCTTGAGCGGCTCCATTTCTGTATGGCTCCGCAGCCATAGAGTTGGTACTAATCAAGGCTTTTTGTAATCGGATACGGGAGTTGAGTAATGTGTCAAATGCCTTGCGCTGTGTCTTGATAGCTTCTCCTTTGGCAACATCGGACTGGGTGCCAGCAGCAATTGTCGATGTAAAAGACTTGCTTGCAGCCATGAGATCGCGTACCGCAGACGCATCGGGCTTCTTGTCTTTGCTGGGCTTTTCTCCATCCGAAGCTTCAGAATCCTCTTCATCGTCGCTGACGCCCTCGGCAGAGCTCCCCATCTCTTCGTCTCCATCACTCATGTCCAGATCCAAACCGCCCTCGGCGTCGCTTCCACCACTTTCATCTTCACTGTCAAGCTCAGCGCTATTGATATCGTCTTCTCTTTCCTCATCACTAGCTTCGCTATCCTCGTCATCGAAACCTCTGGCAAACGGATCGTCGCTATCGCTGTCCTCAAGAGCCTTGCGGTCTACTTTACGCCCAGTATACTCCGGTCCGAGGGGAACCTCAACTGGCTTGCGTAGCTTGCTCTTTCCTACAACTGTATAATGCTCGCGCCCAACTTTCTCGTCTTCGACGTCTGAGATGTCGCTACCAGAACGCTCGTCCTCGCTAGAGCTAGGCGCAGGGTCGAGTAGGGACTCGGGATCGAAATCTGATGTTTTTGTTAGCCATTTTTCCATAGCGCGATCGCAAAGAACCTTTACCTCTGGTCTTTGACTTCTTCATGGTGTCAATGTCGGATTATGGTCTTCTTGGTTGTAGGCGCACGCGAAGAGAAAGTTCCCTCTGGGCCCCACAAAAAAGTCAAAAGATGTCGGCGTTTCATTTTGCCGATGCGCGTCACCTCCGCTACCAACTCCGCAACTCGTGTTGCACCTCAAAATGATGTTGAAACCACGGCTTTTTTCGACATTGCGGTGTTTGCAGCATGAGAACCCCCTTGTATGTTGTGGTGAACATGCAGGCGGGCGCAGTGGCTGATGTCTGGCGCAGGGCCTTCCGCGCTCCGGCGCGCCGCCGCAAATGCCTCGGATGCAACGAGGATTGCCACAGAAACGGAGCATCAAAGATGTGAAAAAAGTGATTGCTGTTTCATCGGCAAAGGGTGGTGTTGGAAAGAGCACCATTGCCGGTATGCTGGACTAATGTCTACGCCATAACCGACGACCACACGCTAAAACCAAGTTTCAGTGAACCTGGCATTGAGCTTCGCGCGGCGTGGTTACAGAGCTGGTATATTGGATACTGATATATTTGGCCCATCCATACCAACTTTGCTCAACCTATCTGGCGAACCTCGACTGTCTACCAGTCAGTCACGAGCGCGCCCCAGCACACTGACACGTCCTGACTTTGCCTACCAGACAACCAACTCATACCCCTCTCCAACTATGGCCTCAAGTCCATGTCCATGGGTTACCTCATCCCAGAGTCCTCACCGGTGGCCTGGCGTGGTCTAATGGTCATGAAAGCTATGCAGCAACTGCTACATGAAGTCGAATGGGGTGGTCTGGACATCCTGGTTCTTGACATGCCACCTGGGACTGGAGATGTACAGCTCACCATCACCCAGCAACTGATATTAGACGGCGCTGTTATTGTCTCTACACCTCAAGATCTATCTCTCAAGGATGCCGCAAAAGGTATCGAGCTGTTTCAAAAAGTCGACGTAAAGCTGCTGGGTCTTGTGTGCAACATGGCGGGCTTCAAGTGCCCAGGATGCGGAGATGTACATGAGGTGTTTGGAAGCATGAAGAATATCAGGGACATGTGCAATAAGTATGATTTAAACGTGCTTGGCGAGATTCCCTTACATGGCAGTATTGGTGAGAATGCGGATCGGGGTAAGCCGACCGTCGTGTCGGAGCCAGATGGAGAGCGAGCGATGGCTTTTGGCAGGATTGCCCAAGAAGTGGAGGCATTGGCTGGTTTGCAAAAATGAGTCACTATCTCAGCTTGATCCAGCATGACGGATCCTGAGCCAATCGTTCAGATTGTCAAAAATCAAATACATGAAAATTCTCTGGCCCGCAGCTACTTCGTTATACCGGACAATCTCTTCTGGCCCCTTTTTTGGCTCGTTTAGCTAGTCAAGTCTATATAAGTTCAATTTACCCTACAGTCCTACCTTCTATACTCATCAATTTTCTTATCTACTTCACAATAACCACTTTACAGACTCAAATAAACATCTGCCAACATGAATTTCACTACTCTCGTCACTATCTTCCTTACTGCAGCTACTGCTTCTGCTCTCGCGATCGATAGTAATATCGAAGTAGGCCAGCACCTGGATAAGCGTGCGACTTGCATTGAGTGCCCCGTATGTTCTTGATTCCCCAGTAACACAGTATACAGAAAAATACTAACAAACACAGGGTGGTGGAACAGCTTGCTGCAAAGGCGCAGGTTCAGGCGGCTATGTGCCGACATGCGCCAGCATGTTTTATTGAGTAAAAAAATCACTTAACCTAGGCTTACATTCTTCTAGGTAGAACGATAATAGGCCTTTAGAAGGGTTATCAAAGAGCTAGGGAGGGGTGGCGCAGTGGGCTTTCTTCTAGAAACTAAATTTCTTATACTACAATTCTAAGGCGTTCGCAAGACTTGGAGTTTCAATCTCTCTCTTCAAAAATTAAAAGTAACTCTAAGACTAAGAGCACTGATTCTGAAGACTTATATTTCAATGAAAATTTCTTTAAACCTTTACTTACAGCTTTAGCTGCATATGACAATTGGCCCTACAGGGGTTCTCGTGCAAGAAGAAACGTGATTTAATTAGCTCCAAGAAGTTCTACACTTGTGTAGACTTCTGTGTGTTTTATCCGCTGGGTTAACGTTGATGCGAAGGATAGAGAAGGACGGATGCCGCTGTTGCGGGCGGCGGCGAACGGGAGTCATCCCACTACTATGAGCATGCATCTACTCCTCTCAACCTCTGATTCGCAAAAGGGAACGTAAATGCCATGGCCTTAACACGCAATCAGTAGTCTATATTTGTATACCAAGCGAACTAGGACGAGCGGGTGTGAGGCGGGGATGTGACATCCAGCAACTTGACTACCGCCTTGTGTCCATTCTTTGCTGCCCACCAGAGCGGCGTCCGTCCTCCCCGGTCCTTCGCATCGACGTTGACCTTATTCGTAGCTAGTAGCAGCCTAACTACCGCCTCGTGTCCGTTCTCTGCTGCCCACCAAAGTGGCGTCCGCTCCCAATCCTCATCCTTCGCGTTAACGTCTACCTTGCCCGTAGCTAGTAGCAGCTTGACGGCCGCCTCGTGTCCGTTCTCTGCTGCATACCAGAGCGGTGTCCGCGCCCCATACTTGTCCCTCGCGTCGACGTCGACCTTGCCCGTGGCTAGGAGCAGCTTGACTACCGCCTCGTATCCTTTTCCTGCTGCCCACCAAAGCGGTGTCTTCCCCTCTTTGTCCTTCGCGTCAACGTCCACCTTGTTTGTGGACAGCAGCAGCTTAACTACTGCCTCGTGCCCGTTCCGTGCTGCATACCAGAGCGGCGTCCGCCCCTGATCCTTGTCCTTCTCGTTGACGTCCACCTTGTTAGTAGCCAGCAGCAGCTTGATTATTTCCTCATTTCCAAGTTCCGCCAGATAAGAGAGTACGTTCCTTCCATTCGAGAATCGGAAGTTGCACCCAAGGCTCTGATCCCTCCTGTTCTTGTAATAATCGGTCTGAGTTTTATCAAGGTCATTCTGGGGAAGCCGATCCTTAGAGAGAATATATAAGAATGCTTGGAGAGCCTCCCAACTTCCGGTTGCCATGGCGGCAAATAGGGGCGGGCCATACCGCTCTTTTCCTACCTCCAAACAGGAGATGGCGGATGGGTGTGCTCTAATAAGAGAGGACAAGTTACGCTCACCTAAAACATATAGCAGGCTCATTCCTTCCGTATGCCTACGTTCTTCATTCGTGTTAAATAAGTTGTCAAGCTGAATCCAGGTAGTAAGCGGAAAACTGAGGATGAAATTTCTCTGAGTAATCCCACTTCTTGCTGCCCAATCTGCATGATGTAGGACATTTTGTACAGCGTATTTCAGGAAAGGAAACATAATATCGGCTGACTGGCGCAGGTCTTTGGCCTGCCGTGATAAAGCATTTGGAAGGCTTTTAGGGATCTTTAGAGTAGAGATATCTATACTCAGGTAGGTAAGGCAGCATTTCTTCAGCTGCTCCTGACTTTGGCCCTGGAGATTGCTTCTAAGGCTAGGCCAGATGTCGCCTAGGCCATCTTCTTTGAGGAGAAAGTCCCTCACTGACTCGTGAATAAACTGGACTGTCTGATGACTGGATGTTGTTACCTCGGCCAAGCCTTTCGATGAATCAAGTATAAACAGTTTGATGATGTCTTTGCTGACCTCGTCAGGGTCCCATTTTGATACTGTTTCAGGCTCGACGCCAGAAAGAATAGCAAAGTACAACTGCTCTGGACTCAACGGCTGTTCCGCGAAAAGCACCCAGTAGATACAAAGTACTAGTTCGTCTCTGTTATGCGGGTTGCGCGTTAATATGTCGTGGAATAGTTTATGCAGGTCACTAGGAATCTCCTGCAGCCTTCGCTGAAGTGCATAGATCCGGCCACGGTCATACTCTTTGTTTAGCATGCCCACAACAAGAACGACCCACATAAAAACTCCCGATGCTTTTGTTTGAAGGTCACTTCGAATCTGCTGCGCAATCTTACTGTTTCCGATCTTTAACTCGCTCTTCAGATAGTTGGCGATGTCCCGGCTATGTCCTTCTTGTCGTTCCAGCACCAGACTTAGCCCCTTCTGGATTGTGATATGTGGGTAGTGCCTGCTTGAAAAACAAACTTGGAATCTGATACCGGCCGACACCGAGAGCTCACCAACATATTCAAAGAACTGGATCATGTCTCGGACCTGCTCTTCTTCGCATTCATCTAGGGCATCGATGAAGCAAACCACAGTAGTCTGTCCGAGGTTCTGTATAGCTTGCTTTAACATCGATTTGAGTGATTCGAGGCTCCATCGGTGATCTGGCCTGATGTTTGAGAGACCGAGCGAGTCAAAGGTGCACTGGAGAGCTGGAAGCCGTTCGAGAAGTTGCAGGAGTAGTGACCGATAAGTCCCAATCGTAGACTTCTCCATATCCTCACCTCGTGCGTTGAAGAAGAAGGAGATGATGGTCTTATCGTTCATCGTTACCTGGGCATTAACGAGAGCAAACTTCATTAAGGTAGATTTTCCAGTCCCAGGCTTCCCTTTAATCCATAAGAAGCCGTGGCGTTCGCCTATTTTGGTTGTGTCGAGCCAGTCGATATACTCGAGCTTTGTTGATAGCCACTCACATGTCTTGGCGTGGGCGCTTTTGATAGTCATCTGGCGTGCATCGACTTGATCGAATCGTAACGAGTCCAACAGGACCTGCCGATTCCTTTTGACGAGAGCCAACATCCTTTCTTTCGGGTTATTGTTGATTTGTTCCTCAAGCCGAGCCAATGCGTGCTCTCGCCCTTCGCCATATATAAGCGGAATGTGAATGTTGAAGATGCCCAGCAAGCAATACGCCTCGTCTTCCTCACGTGTTGTTTGGCGCTTTGCTACCCATGATAATCGCTCATCCTTGCTGAACTGGGACAAGGGACTTCTCTGAAGGGCCTCAATGGCGATTCCCGTTATCTCGTGAATAGTTTGTTCTAATGACTGTTTGTTGCCAAGAAGCGTCCACTCTCTAGAGAAGAATTCAACGGATCCAGGTGCGATAAGTTCTTGAAGGGTCCAGCCACGAGTAAACCATCTGCTTTTCTTGAATGCTGGTTTCCATCTTTGCGAACACTCGTCATAACCATCAGAAGTACTGTGTAGGACGTCGGAGAGATACACGTAGCATCTCTCTGCATTCTGATACCAGTGGAACATAGAGTTAATCGCTTCTTGTAGTTCTGCACTGCTTGACTTGTCGATACAACAGGTGTCTATCCAAAAGTATTCCAAGCCATCTCGCCTAGCTTGATCACCGCAAAGCTGGATTTTTTTGTAGCCAAGCTTACTCTTGCCGGTGGCCTTTCCTAGGTCTTCGAAAGTAACCTCGTCAACGGCTGCTCCCCATGTGTGCGACAATATCGCATAGCAAGGGATCTTATCATTACCAATCAAGTCCTTGGTAAGACTGAACTCGCCAGCGTTGCTACGTTGCAAAAGACGCATTGATTCATATGGAGCGGGATGGAATCGAGCGGTAGGAGTGAATTTGACTAAGCTTAAGCGTGGTAGCTGAGCTGAAAAAACGAGCACAATGGCTCGCTCGTCTGTTGTGTGTTTGCCCTAGCAATCGGGATTAGTGAGCATGCAGAAAGACAAGAAGCCAGCCTGTATTCAAGAATTGTATCTATTACCAAGACGATGTAGCGATGTTGCAGCTGTTAGTTAGGTGATGAGGTCAGGAACAGCTCAGCCTTGGGCGGGGTTCGATTGATGGCACAACAAGGCTGAGATGCAACGGTTAGCTTACAGCCGAAGGCGAGCGCACGTGTGTACACTAAATGCATCTGCCAACATTCCGAAGAGCGTATGAAAAACTCGACTACGCTAGCAAGGAGGACGGCCGACCCGCACCTACTGCACCCTTGTGATGTAGCGAATCTATAAGAAATGTGCTGGTCGACGGAGAGGCAGAGCGTGGCCAAGGTTAAGTTTAGTCGCACGGCCGGGGGGCTTAGTACTACTACGACGTCGGCCCGTGTGCTATCACTTTGCACAGCCACAGGTCTGGCAGTCACAGCCCTACTTATCGGCTACTGCTCTCCACAAGTTTACTTCACGGTTATCCACTAACTGGCTGGCAAGATCTGTCCACCCCCGTTTTTGGGATTTGTCCCCCGCGCTAGTGCTACGTACGTAGGGAAAGTCACCTTTTCATATTAGTTTAGCGTGTAATTTATGGACATGACAACATCACAACGCCGCGAGTTTTTATAATAGGGTCATAATCTTCAAGATATACGATTGTTAACTCTCTTTTCCTATTCACAGCAGCATGGGTGGCATTGTACCTCCTCCAGAACTGCCATACAGCACTTGTGGAGAAGCTTTTAATGCCCTTGAGGCACATGGCATGCAGCATAAATATAGCTTTATTTTGAGCACAGCAAACCTCATAACTACAATTTTAATGTCCGATATTACGCACTTCGCTGCGGTCTAAGCGTGCTGCAGCAATGGCTGCTCCGAATTCTTACAAATGCCTAGGTCCATGGAAGAGACGTCGATCCTAGTAGAAGATAACAGGGTGTCTGCGCAAGCGTAGTTTTATACAAGTATAGTTATAGTGGTTTAGAAATAGTCTGGATATGTAATCTAAGGTAGATGTAGTAAGATTCCAGACGCGTGGAGAGGTGATGTGGCTTCAAGGTAGGAGTACCTATGATTTGTTTGCTTACGTTGCTTTTCCCGTTACGAGTGGATGCACACTAGTTCGATTGTTTCATCGTTCGTGAAGAGCTTTACCATTGTTAGCCCTCTCATTCATCCATTCCCGAATAGGTTCCCACTTTCGACAAGTATGTGCTCCTGACCTCCCTAGAGAGAGTGGAAATCCCGGCCATGAATAAAGAGGAGACGGAGTCAGATCGCCGTGGCACATAAGGGCCTGCCGGATGCGGTCCAAACAATGTTCCATATGTTTTACGTTCCACATGGGGTCACCGATTTTCTCTGCTATTTTCCGCTCAGTTTGAGAGTGAGCGTTGTCCTCATTGGAAACATTGTAGAGCACTGGTTGGATCTCGTTACGTATGGCATTGAGACAGTGAAGGGAATGGAAAACGTCGGGCCTGGGAAGGTTGAGCAAATCTGTTAGAGATGATTCTTTCATGGATAAAAGCCAGAGGTGGATTTGTCTTACTCGAAATGGTATTCTCCATCCTTGCGCTGTGGTGTCAAATCGTCCAAGAATGGCGTAGCTTCTTTCTTGCTCATAGTCGGAAATTCACCTAAGCCCAATATTAGAATCAGAAATGCACGGTTATGCATATTTTCGGTTGAGTTTGGTACATGCCGTGTAGCAACTCCTCCCACGCTTGCTCTATTTCTGGACTTGGCGGTCCGAAGTATTCCACTTTTGCGTCGTGTAGACGGATAACTCGACGCTGGGTCGCATCGTAAGTTAAAGCTCCAGTATATGTCTGTTCCTCGTATTGAACGGCCTTGCGTGCGTCTGGGAAGTCTGTTTGCCAGGAACTGGGACCGCGACGAGACCAAATAGTAAAATTTATGACGGTGAATACCAAAAACAGCAACAAATTAACGGCTGTTAAACAACACCAACGTCGGTAATGGCTGTGTGAAGCAACCCATCTTCCTGTTTGCGACACCTCATCCTCATCATGGAGAAAAGCAGTCGCCTCGTCATTTTCTTTGTCTTGATCTGGCATTGCGATCTCGAGGATCGGGAACGAGTTGTAAGAAATGATTTGATGATTTCAAAAGTTTCAGAGTATCTAGTACCGTGACGCTTGAAGATCGGCTGACTACCTCCGGAGTCGTTGGGACAGTTGTTAGACCGTGGTGAGCTGGGAAAATAACCGAGCTTGACAACTCCCGCTGCCAATGGACAATGTAAATACACATAACCCGACTGCTGTAGTTTAGTACTACCTTCATCCGCACTTGGGTAAAGCATCCGGCAATGCATCGACGGCATAAATACAGTTTGAACCATTCCTATCTGGCTGATATCCATGCACTAAATGCCGTCATCCTCCCATGGTCTCCTCACGGAATGTGTGGTCGGCGAACAGTGCACTGTGTAAGCGATGGATGAATCAAAAAGATAAGGTTCATGACGCCATTTGTAGACGGCGGCAACCGGATGACGGCGGAATGTCATGGACAGATCGGCTGACTATACAATAAATTGTGTATGCACTGAGCGAGAACTTCTGCTGCTTTCTTTTTTGATATTTGTAATAGATCGGTTATGGAAAGGCCAATATTATGGAAAGCGGAGTGAGCTTTGCGTAGTATCTAGGTGCCAACCTCCAAGATACGGATCTACGTATACTATACACGAGATTCAAAGCTGACATTTCACGAGAAATCGCTCTAAACGAGTGTAGACGTCCGGAAAACATAAGATCCGCATTTCTCGAATTACTTCAGGATTCTCATATGAGAGCTACAAACTTTCGGTATTGCTCGGAGCCAGATCGGACCGATAGGTGTGATGCTTACACTGCTTATTGCTGACCGCATCGTTGGTGAGTTTCAGGAAGAGGTACCCATACATCACACTCGGGTGATCATCACACCGCTCAGTGAATCGACACCATGTTATTACTTGGGAGGACTTCAAGCAGGATTTCGAAAAAGGTTTCTGGACTTAGGCATCTCAAACCGATAACCATCCATAATCTCACGATACTGTGCGGTGTGGAAAGTGTTGCTCTCTGAGCATGTTTTTGAAAGTACGGAACGATACAGTCGCATATGGACCAGACGGAGAATTCAGACATAGGCTCTCAAACCAGTCCAGTGGAGTGAAAGTGTCTTTACAAGTGCCGGTCTAGAACAATTTGCACTAACTGAAGAAGTGCGAATAATAAAAAGAACATGGGCATTCATCTCCTCTTTGATTGTAGCATGATAGAAATATTCATCAGACACTATTGAAGGAAAGCACGTCTAAGTATAGAGAGAGGATTGCACGTCACGGTGACGATATGGTGTTACTACTCTGCTAGTTCCAGAATTTTATATCTTTCCGATACATCGAGTGTTATCTCCATATCTATTTCACTTCTTTTGGATTATATCCCCGTTGTCTTCCTGTACGACACCTCGTTTATCCTCCCGTACGATACCTCGTTTATCTTCCTCACGGGGAGCTCGCTTGTCGATATCATCATCGGCAAACTCAAGGCCTCGTTTATCTTCCTCACGGGGAGCTCGCTTGTC